CCGACCTAACACATCACCACACCACCACCACCACCGTCGTCATCATCTCCGCTCGTAACGCCCTCATCCAATGCCAATCCCTCGTCGTAGTCCCATTTGCAACCATGTTTAACGCTTTTGACGTGTAAATGTTATCTCTTTTACAAATTAAGCCCAGCTTCCCATTCCTCTACTTCCCGGATTTTTAGTCCCAACTCCGGCCTTGTGGCGGATTTTCATCTACATGCCCACCATCAGTATACACCCTCGCCAGCTCCCGCTCCATGAAACCAAAAAATGTCCAACAATTAAATGTAATTTGAACTCACTGACATGAGCTTGTGTGATTCTTGATTGTGTGTGGCAGGGCAGGGGCTGAAAAATACTATTTTCGGGGGAGATCAACAAGAAGTGGATAGATAGTAGTTGATAATCACTTCTCGTACAATTATTTTCCTACAGATTGACGCTTTAAATTGGTGTATAAACAAGATAATTGTTCGGGAACATGAATCCAATTGTAAATAATATTTGACTATTTTTATGAATTATAAATTAGAGCTTTTAAAACTATTATCTGTTTGAAGGAAATCGTCGCTAAGAAAATCAGATATAATCCAAGTTTGAACTTAATTTTTAAAGTTTTATGTATATGCCAAATAATATTTAAAAAACAAATCATTCAAATCGAAAATAATAATATTTTGTTGTATGGTATTCTTTTACAACTGATTGTTTAAAAACCATAAATATTCGATTTTAAAAATATTTTATGTTTGAAGGACTACGATCTCCTATAAGCAAATCAAAGTTCAAACTGATTTGTTGAAGTTTTTGTATTAATCAAATATACATATCTATTGTTTTATATTGAAGTATAGTATTGATAAATATTGATTGTTGATTTATAATAATACATGTTGCAGTACAAATAGTTATAAAATCGTGATTTGATAATCCATGATTAAAATTTTCACAGAGTCAACCTTAAACCTTTATTTTACAAATAAAGAAAACATAAATGTATTACACTACTGCAAAAAAATAGTATTTAATCCTGACTAAAAATATACTTTTTAAGGAATAAACCTTTTTGTATATTCATAATTACTTTATTCCATCAGATATGCGCTTTATTAAAGATTAATAGCCGCTGTTCTTTCAAAGTATCGAATGTCATCGAAAGCCTCATTGAGATTTTTAATAATTTGTTAAGCAAATCTCCCTTGAATTGACCTTCCTCTTGGCCGTGTCAGCTTTAAATCGGTTTAGGTTCGGGCCGCACACACTCGCCCACACATATACCGTGGATATATCGGACAGCCGGGAGCGATGGAGATGCCAATGGAAAACATGATCCCAGCAGCGATGACCACAACGGGGTCAGGGAATTGTGTGAGTGACTTGGTAAGCTCTACACTGCACAAAGTGCCTCTAAAAAAGTATTCATATAAATAAAGCCTAATTCAAGTTTGACCGACGACCATAACGTGCTAACTAATCTGGTTTTAAATACATTAAAAAATTGAATTTATAAACTTTTCTGATCTAATTTTGCATAACTTTCACACCAGTGTATCATCAGAACCTTTTGCACTTTTTTTGGGAGGTCTCCATTTGACACGCCATTGATCGTTTTGGCTTGCTCAAACATCTTTTCTTTTGTATCGCCGACCTCAAGCCCCATTTTAAAATCCATCTGCATTCTGCATATATGTGTCTGTGGGCTTATATGACACGTATGCCAAATCGGCTTAAGGGCAAGTTATCGGCATTTGAAAATAAAAACACGCGCATTATCGACACCAAGCAGAACAGAAGGTTGATATGTGAAATTGCACTGAGCGAAGCGCTAAAGTACTGCGTTCTTAGATTTAAAGTTAATAGATATGGTAAATCATAATTCTACCGGAATCTGTGTTTACAAGTTGAGCAAAGAAAATGTATTAGATTTTAAAAATTAAGTTTAAGGAATTTCATTTATACTTTTAAGAATTTTTAACATTAACAAATAAAAAATTATATTTGATTATTACATTTTTTTAGTTATTTCATCTAATGGATATATTATGGATAAAGAAAACATACTTTAAAAGTGTTTTGGAGTAAAAATGGAACAATTTTTAGAAACAAATTTTTTCAAAGCAAATAGGGTATGCTTTTAGTTCATTTAATATCGTTTAGTCAAAAGATGTGCACAAAATCTTGGCCAACGCATAACCACCGGTTTCTCGCTGTGTATGCCGTCGGCTGCAGCATTCTGTATGAATCGAGGATGAGGATGTCAAAGCCATCGTCTGTCTGGCTGTCAATACGTTTTCCATTTGTCGCCTCTAATGACACACATATTTAGGTGTTAATCGCCTCATTGGAACGCTGGCAGCGGATTTGCTCGCATTGTTGTCCGGCGGTCGGGTTCGGAGTCGGGGTTCGGGGATCGGGGATCGGGGCTTGCAGCTCCGGAGGAATCCAGAGTCGGTCGCAGGGTAAATATTGATGCTGCGATTATAACTATTGATGCGTTCACAATGGACTTGCCGGGCATTATCCTTAGCCGATCAGCCAGCTAGCCAGATCTCCTCTCTTTCCACTCCGCTCGTCGGGCGATTAGTTGTGACCGGGGTTTCAGTCAATCGTGTTTTGGCTTTAAGGCGCATTATCCCCTAAATCGCAAACAAAACTGCAAACAAATTGCCGCAAAGCGGGAACCGAAACACGAAAAAAAACATTCCGTTTCGAGGCAAGCGGAGCATATGCCCGGAATCCGGATCGGCATCCGAAACGGGAGGGTATTAGGAAAATTGCCAAATGGCTTCGGCGGCTGAAGAAGTGAGCTGCCAATGATACGATATATCCCAAAGCCGCGTCTCTGTATAACCATCTCTTTTCCCTCCGATCTGCAATCATGGAGTTGTTTAATCTGATCGTGTTAGGGGTGTTTGTTAAACTAGTTCGGAATTTGATAGGTCTTCTTCCTTAAAAAACAACTAAAAGAACAAACAAAAAATGAAAGCAAGCACCTTTTACTTGTTTCATTTTGACCATCTGTCTTACTATTACTGGCAAATCAAACAAATTCAAATATTGAAATCTTGAAATTAGTAACCATGCGAGCAATTAAATGTTTCTTTTTATTTATATTGTTTTTCATATTGTAAAAAATAAATAACAAAATTATAAGTATTTTAGATTTATACAAATATGAGTTCCTTTAACATTCTGTTTCATTTCAACTAATGAATAAAAATTCCTCGTCTGTGTTCCAATGCATGATTTTCATTTCAGAAACCATAAAGTTGTAATTATTTAAAAATTTGAATTGCCTTTTGAATAAATTGATTTTCATGGTGTAAATAAAAATAAAGAAAAAATTAAAAGGAAGTATTTTAAATTCATAAAAATGAGTTTTATGAGTTTTTTACACTTTTATATTCACCAAAAATGTGAAGTAGAATTGGCCGTCGGAGTTCCATTGCATCATTTATAATTCAGAAACAATAAATTTTAGTTTTATTTTAATTCCGCATTGGCCTTAAAAAAAATAACCAAATAGTCTCTCTATGTTGACTATAATTAAATAAGTCAATATATTTTCTTGGTTCCTAAAAAATCAATTACTATACCCAAACGCAGCATTGAAAAACATTGTATCGATGGCCTGAGTCTAGCGCTTAATGCAAAAAAATTAATTCTTTATTCAAAAGCATGGCAACAGGGGTTTGACAATTATTATAAGGACGTTAGCTCTTCCCTTAATTGGAATGTATGTTAAGCTGCTATATATACGTACAACTAGTGTGACATCACATATTTTCCTTCTCAAAAAAAATGTTTTTCATTCATATTTGGTAATCAACCCCTGTCATCCAGACAAATGTATCCATTGTGGTATATACAAAACAGAATGCGCCGGCGTCGACAATTTTGTTGAGGGTACACAACCTTTTTAACCACTGTGCTGCTAAGGAGTTTTGATTGGTCAATTACCAGTCAACCAATTGCGTTATCGCCGGTTGATATATGAAACACTGGTTCAGGGTCGAGGGCAGAAGGAAATGAAAGAAATTAATAAAGTAACTTTAATTTTAGAACACCTATACCCACATGTTTAGAAACTTTATTTCGCATAACACAATCTTTAAAATGTCTGATTCGTTAAAAATATTTCTTACACAAATTTTCTGTGTTTATTATTTACTCATAGATTTTTTATTCCTCTGTAGACTTGTAGAGCGCAGAGAAGGAGACATTATAAGCATTGTTCAGCTCAACTTAAACTTTTGCAATCGTCTTTTCATATTTTAACGCAGATCAAGTTTGAAAACTCCGCCGATCGGACGTGTATATCCTATAGAAGCTATATGGCAAATAGGCTTATTTGGTTGTTTTTTAATTGTGCCTTAATCCCGTTGTCTTTCCTATTTTTGCCTCTTCAGACCAACTCGTGAAGTTAAGTATTTCCATACTGTCACATACTTTGTATGTTGTATGCATTATATTCGAGCAGCTGATCAATAGAATTATTTAGCTAAACTAACTCATCATCGAGCAAGAATAGCTAATTAGTTTTCTTTCCCGTTTTAAATTTATTTGAATTAAAATATTATTATTCATTACAGCTTAATAATACGCCTTGTTAGAAGTGTTAAATAAAGTTGGTCACTCCAAATATGAACATGGGCTATTGCCGTAAGAAATTAATCAATACAAAATCAAGCACGAGCTAAGAAAGAAGCTAACTGGCTTTAATTCGTTTAAATATATACTTTTAAGGCCAGAAATCAAATTTTTGAAAAAACAGACATAAATATAACCGCGGCAAGCAGTGCATCGTCGAGTCCTCTTGCAACAGAAGATTTACACAGCGGATATCTTAACAGTTCGGTGCTCTGTTAAAACAGAAGCTGTTAAGTTATCAAGACTAACTGCTTTATTTGCACTGCTTTCAGTTCAAGCTGTTCTTAAACGCCGTTATGTTAATTGTATAGTTTTCAATTTTAAGAGAAAAACCGTTTATACTGTTTGTTTTAAACCATTTTTATTTCTAAAAAATTAACATGCCTTTTTTGTTTGTAGCTAGAATTATAATCACTAATTAAGTAAATGTTTTGTTTCTGTTCTTAATCCATTTGGTGTTTTCCATTTTGTTTTAAATGTTCCGTTATCGTTTTAATTCTATTAAAATTTAACATGAAAGATCGCTAAAAATTGCTCAATTGTTACATTCAACGTTATACGCTTTTTGATTTTGCAATGGATTGATTTGTGTAACAACTTGATGCTAGTTTATTAACAAAGTTAAAAACAAAAACAAAATTACGCCCTATGTGGTAAATTACCGAGTAGTAAGTAGTAAATATTAACTGAACACAACAAACCATTTTTACAAGTATGAATTGGCTAGAGAAGAGCAAAATAAAGGGTTGATTACCATATATTGCTATAAGAAGAAGTTGGGAAGAACGTAATGTACATAATGTGCAATGTGCTGCAGGTGTCTTCTAATGTGCTAACGGATGATGAACAACAAAAATTATTAACAAAAACCTTCGACTAATAATTAACGCTAGCTAAAAGTACAGATCAAATAACAGAAGAATATGGAAACTAAACAATTGTGATTGGCTTCGAATCCCGTTTTTTGTTTTGATTTTACATACATAAGCATTATGGATAAGTGTGTTATTTTCGCTAGAATTTGTGAACATCATGGACGGATGTTATTTTGAAGTAAAATTTAGCGCACAGTGGCGCCTTGCTGGCTGCATACAACCCGTGACGTCAGCAAAGGGGGGGTTGGAATGGGATGGGGCAGGAATTAGGGAAGGGGAAGGGGAGGGGAGTCGAGGGCAGGGATTTCATTTTCAAATTTTGATTTACACTAAAGTTAACTATACTAATCAACAGTTTCTTGTCCAGTTGGTTGTTTGTACAGTGATCGCTCGTATCGTAGATGTAGATATCAGTATATCAGTATATGTATGTAATGCTATATCATAGGCATCTAAGGCATAGTTTTGTCTAAACGATAAAGTTCATGTTACTCATATTTCGATTTACCAATTATTTACAACAATTTCGTATCACAATTGTAATTTTTGCATGTTTTTGTCTTGCTTGTTTAAAAAATGTTCTTACGCTCCAGTTGTATGCAAACTTACGAGCAGCACTGTGCGAATATTCGAAATGTTTTTCCACAATCGAAGAATCCTCGATCGTTGCTGTTATTGTGTTAGATTAGTTATTCAAACTAGGAGCTATGTAAAAGGTACGAGTATAATAATTGAATTCATAATTCGTTAACCCTCTGCTAAGCTAAAATAATCTTTATCTGAATCTGAATCTGAATCCGGATCTATATCTGTAACTGTATCTGTATCTGTGTGTATGTCTGCTTTCTGTATCTGTGTGACAGTGGTGTATATAACCTGGCTATGTACGTATATATCCTGTTGTTTATATGTAAATATATGTAGGTATAGCTTCTCGTTTATATCCGCGTAATTAAACTTGCTGCCGTCGCATTAAACTCTGAAAACATAACAAATTTAAAGCCCTTCGCTGCAACTGTATAGGCATATATATATCAGATGTATCTATGTGTGGTGTCAAGTGTGAAGTGTGGATGTCTAAAACCATAAACTGCCGCCTTTGAGGCGAGCCTTAGCTATGTATATATAATGCACTAAAACCGACTTAAGCGGACCCGCGTTGACGCAAGTGTTTGCTGGCCAGTTGAACCGGCTGGAAATTATTGCCAAAGTACTTAAGGACTAAACTACAAAACCTAATGCATAATAAGACTACATAACAGGGTTGGTTTCCGGGAAGGTATATATGTATGTATGCATATCCATCGCATTCCGTTTTTGATTCTGCAATCTCGACTGTTCGTCGTACGACTTTTCGATATTTTGACATTTCGACTCTTTAAGGGATTAGGTAACTACGTAGCTCTCATTTGATTTTCATACTCTCTGCATGCAGATCATAAAAATATGATGAGTTATCTCTAACTAACTATATATGTAACGTAGACGTAAGTGTAAACGTAGAACTAGATGGTAAGTGTATAATTTGCTCTGAGCTTAACTGTGTGCCTGGTTGTGGAAAATCTCTCAAAATTGAGCTAAGTAAATATTCTGAATCTGGTTTGATTCGGGGGACCGTCCAGATCCCGAGCCGGCAAGCCATTTGTGGGTCCACGACCTACTTGCCGGCCCACTGTGGCTGCTATTGATGGCTCTTGCTGAGCAGGTGCGAGTTGAACTCGTAGACGTTGTTCAGCTGCTCGCCGCAGATGTTGCACCGCCACGGATTGCTCTCGCAGTGGCAGCCCTTGTGCAGGAAGTAGAGCGTCTCGTCGGGGAACTCGATGCCGCAGAAGTGGCAGGTGAGGATCAGCTTGCGGTTGAGCAGCAGGTCTCCGTCCTGGCCGGTCGACGTGATCGTTCCGTTGCAGATGGGCGTCGAGTTGGCGCCATTCGCGCCATTGGGTGTCGCCGGTGTGGGCGGTCCGGCAGCTCCTCCGCCACCGCTGCCGCCATTGACGCCGGGTGATCCTCGACCCGATCCATTGCTCAGGCTGTTGGACAACACGGAATTGTTGTTATTACTCTCCAGCGGTGTGGCATTCCGGGTGATCCGGTTGTTGGCCTTCGCGCAGATGCGCCGCTTGAGATCCTCGCGCAGGAGCGATTTCAATGGTGAGACCTTTTCGAAAATCAAAATTATTAATATGGGTTTAGATCTATGTATTAAGACTTGAACAACTCACCTTGATCAATGAGGTGATTCTGTTGTTGTTGTTGTTGCTGCTGCTGTTATTGTTATTGTTATTGGAAGCCTGCTCTGTATCGCTGTTTGGATCACTGCCGTTCATCAAGTCTTTCTTATCCACATCCTCTAGCATGGGCTCCTAAGGGTAAAGATAAAATAAAGATATGTTAAGTATGTGTTAAAACACGAGCAATTTTTTCCTACTAATTTCCTATTAAAATGTTAATACAAACATTGTTGGAATTTGAAGACCAATCAAATTTGTACAAATGTTTTACACTAGTTTGGTTAAAAGTGATTTTAGGATCAATCTCGATTGATTTTAATTAATTCAACAAATGTTTGTACACTAATACTAAAAAGCATTCTTATGGAATCACAGCCTGCTAGACAGTTTTTGTTTTTAATTTTAATTAAATAATAGTATTAATAAATAGTATACATAATTTATGTCATTTAATCGCAAATTTTTTTACAGGTCAAGATCAAACGCTGAATCAAACACCAATATTTAAGCCCTGGATCTCAAATAAGCTAAAAAAGCTAGTTCAACCAAATTAGGTATGCAGTCTTTTGTGATGCACAACAGGTTTTCAAAAAATAATGTTCCGCCTTCGCATGCAGACGAAGTGTGGAGTCGATCGTCTGACTCGTCTGACTCCATATCTTGTATACCGCAGCTCCTAGTCTTGCTTTTGTAATAAGAAATTAAAATTTATAAACATATCTAAGGAGACATTTGAAGGTTGACTACTTTTTGGACATATGGTGTTTGAAATTTATGATATTCGACTTCTGTCCCATATCTACACATGTAACTTCTATGCTGTACGTAAACGATTTCATAACATATGCCCCACCAAATGCCAAGCTTTGATCTTTATTTATCAGAAGATCTAGCGTCTCACCTGTTTGATGGGTATCAGACTGATCGACGGCGTTATGTGGTTCTCGTGGTGGTGATGATGATGATGGTGGTGCTGATGGTGCGGATGCTGATGGTGGCTCTTGAGACCGCCACTCAGACTGCTGGCTGTGGTGCTGGATGTGATGGGCGTGGCCTTTGTATTGCAATCCATGGGCAACTCCACCGGCGATTGCATGATGTGGGCTCGATCTTTCACCTTATCGCCATTGGACTCGGCATTTCCATTGCTAATGGAGTTGCTCCCGCTGTTGTTGTTGTTATTGTTGGTAACGCAGTTGTTGTTGTTGTTGTTGTTGTTGTTGTTGTTGTTGTTGTTGTTGATGCTATTGTTATTGTTGTTGCCCTGCAATGCAGATTCACGCCAAACGCAAATCAGCTAGTTTATTGTTTGTAAGCGAGGGGGTTTCGAAAAGGGGTTTGTTTGCCATATAGCAATTGACTTACATTGAACAGCTCCGTATTGCCGCTCTCGCCCAGCGTCGAGATCTCCACGTGCGGCGTGAGGAAGTGCATCGGGGGCGTGGCATTCTCGAGGGACCGCATGGACTCCCCACTGTCGCTGGCCGGCGGAGCAACCTGTTGTTGCTGCTGCTGCTGCTGCTGCTGTTGTTGCTGTTGCTGCTGGGACTGAGATTGCACAGGCACCGGACTTAGGCCAGGTGGCACGTAGCTAGCTGCCGCTGCTGCTGCCGCCGCCGAAGCCTGCGATTCGAGGGCCAAGAGCAGCGAGGAGGTACCTCCCGGTCCCGGATTATCCAGATCGATGCCGTGCCGGTTGAAGAAGTGAATCCTTAGCGATTTCATCGAACCCGCACGGTAACTGCAGAGCGGACATGTCTTCACCAAATCGTGCTGGCCCACATGCTCGTTCTGGAAGTGGGCACGCATCGCTATCTGGCGCTGGAAGCCCCGATTGCAGATGGGACAGTGATAGGGCAGCGTTTTGGTGTGCGTTGTAAAGTGCTCCGCCAGGTGATCCTTGCGGAAGAACCTCTTCTGGCACACCCGGCACTCGTAGGGCTTGACGCCCGTGTGTCGCATCTTGTGGCGCCGCATATTGGCGCCATTGGAGAACTTCATGTTGCACACATCGCACTCGAAGACCTTGCGGGAACTGCTGCTGCTGCTGCCGCCGCCACCGCCTCCGCCGCTATTTCCCGCCGGCGAGGAGCTGGCCGAAGAGCTGGAGTGGTTGCCCGCCTGGCCATCGCCCTTGCCGCCCTCCATGTGGCCCAGGCTCATGTTCTCCGGCTCCTGAAGATCCTCGCTCTTCAGCCTCGCCGATGCAGCCGCCGCAGCTGCCGCCGCCGCCGCCTGACCTGCCAGACACTGGACCACATGGAGCAGCAGGGAGGCCCGCGAGCTGGTCTCGAAACTGTCGCAACGCTCACACCGAAAAGTCATGGGCGGCGAGTGGGGACCGGTGCTGAGATTCGTGGGCGTGGGCGTCGGCGATCGCGGCTCCTGCAGCTCCGATTCGGAGGCGGATGAGGCGGCCTCTTTGAGACTGCGCAGCGCCATCGCATTGTGGTGCAGCAGGGCCGCCGTGGTGGGCGTCATGTCCACAATGATGCCGCCGCCCACCGTCGGACTGGGATCCTTTAGGGCCAACTCCATGCCGCTGGCCGCCGTACTGATCGTTTCGGCCATCTGAAATTGCAAAATGTCGTTTAGTTCTAACTATATACACTCGAGAATAATAAATAGTTCGTTTTTATTATATATCACATTTCTAAAAAAATATACAAAATGGTATATTGCTTAAAAATACGAGCATAAAAATTATTTGTATTTATAAAATTAAGGAGCTTTAACAAGATTTGTACTTCTTAATCTCAAAATTCTTTTATACCATATGTGTTCAAGAAAGTATGAAAGTCAATAAAAAAAAAAATAATAAAATATAAATTAAATAATTGACTATATATTTTTACTCATTTACAATTTTAAATATAGTAATTTGGCAAAAATAGCTAAATAAAAAAATTATAATTGAAAAATTTAGGTCAAACAAAAGAAAATAGTCTCTGAAATCGAGGTTTGATATATTAATATTTATGATACTATTTCTCGATGTTAACCCCTGATTTTGGTTCAGTGCGAATAAGATTAGTCCAGGCCACGCCCGAAAATCGATGACAAGTTGTGGTTGATATTTTTTGTTGTTGTTGTACTTTGCAGTCGGCATTTTGGCATTTCAAGTGCTTCCAACCCAAAGACCCAAGCCCAAACTCAGACTTCGACTCTAATAAGCCAAATTGGTGTCAGCGTCGAAGCTTCGTGGGATGAGAGGGGGACGTTGGGGGGATAGGGGTAAGGGGAACCTGCGGCGAATTCGCCAAGAACCAAATCACCAACAACCACACCACCGCACCGACCATTTTTGGGCGGCCTTGTTGTTGTAGTTGTTGTAGCTGTTGCCGGCGTTGACGTTGACTTCGTGCTATGAAAATACCAAAGTTATTGGGGCCAATTACTGGTCTTGCAGGTGGGCAATCATTTGGACACCCAAACACACAGAGAAACGCTGCCCGAACCAGAGATGGAGACCACACCAACAAACATCAAGCAAATCATTCAAAAGTTTGCAGCAAACACAATGGCAACTAAATGGCAGTTGGCCCCAAATTTTAGCGTTGTTTAGGCCAGACTTTAAAAAGACATTCTTGTTTCAAAGAAACAACTTCAGACCCAGCTTGCCCTTAATAAATTCGTTTGTTGAACTTTTTTAATAGATCGTATAATATAAAAAATATATAAATATTTTAATTGCAAATTCTTTCTATAGCAATAAAATTATATATTGTGAATAAAAGTATTTGATAGGGTTTTTCAGAATTAAACAATAAGTGCTTGAAATAAGTATGCGTGTTTTAGGAAAAATTAAAAAATTATTTTTTTAAAACCGTATTAATAAGATTAGTTTATCAATTGAGATCGGCTGGACCGAATTTATCTAAATTTTTTTGTCAGTTGTGGACGGGTATTACAAATTGTAAATACAAAATTTGTTTTTATACTTAATTGGTTCGATTTGCTGAACATTTATACTTCAAACAACCTTTAGGATATAGATTTCAAAAAAATTATTGCTACCTCCCGAAAAAATGCCTATTATTAAAATTTCGAGTTCCGTCCCATTGTGCAACTTTGGCTTAGTGACGCATCTCACCCGTCGTCTGGCCAGGGTTTTGGCAATAGGTCAAACGTGGATGGATACCCATAGATAGTTATGGGTACCTCCACATATGCACAGGTGCCAATGTGTGGGGTGTGAGTGTATATCGGGCAGCGTATAAATCATCATCCATAATCATTCGACAGAGCTGGCCAAGCTCTTCTCGCAGCTAATTTAATTCAACCTTGAATGCTTTTGCATTAGCATTAGCCAGATCACAAAAGCCAAGAGCCATGGGGGACGACCTCAGCCCCGACCAGCTTCCCTATGCCCACATGCGGCCAAAGAGATATATGCGAGTGGTTGTGCATTTCTGGCCAGGTCAGCACTCTGAAAAATGAAAAGTGTGTCGTAGGCCTATTTGAAGGCATCAACATAATTACAAATTCACTTTTTCACTCGATGCTCCATCGCGCAGACGAACGGGTTTTTTTTCGGGGTACGAAACTTCTTTTTTCGGGCCAGGCCACTTAAATGTTGTAAACTTGTAAGCATTAGCGGCGCGGGCACAAAAAGCCAAAAGACTAAAGACTAAAACGCTGAAAAACGCACAAAAAGTCGGTTTGCATTTTCAGTAATTATGAGGCGCTGTTGGCTTTGGCATTATAAATGCCATAGTTGCCAACTCAATGGAGTCATTGGGTCAAGTTTTAGAGTGCAACTGGGTCAGGCTTTATCATTATTATCATTATCGCCACCACCTTGCCATCATCATCATCATCATCATCATCATCATCATCATCATCACTATAATCTCTGGCCAAGCGATGGCTAACATACGACCCAACCAAGGGTTTCGGGTCTCGAGACTCGGGTCTTTGGGGTGTCCCGCATTTTCACTTGTCCGCCGTGCTGTTCCCAATTCGTTGCCCCAAAAGCCGAAAGCAAAAGAAAATATAAAGCGACGCTTGGGCTTTGAGCCGCTCTGGAAATGAGAAATGGTAGGAGAAACGCGAAATGGGAGCACACTCACACAAGTGAGCGACATAATTGGAGCGCCCTGAGAGCCCTTAATGATGTCGCACACTGTCCGCCGGTCGGGGATAAAGGTGCGCCACGTGGGCGGCTAATTTTCAGGAGCAGAGTGGCCGTACACGTGTCGGGCCGCGGAATCGAACAAGCACGGAGTTTCACTGTGGGCTAAAAATTGAATTTGGAAAGAAATCTTAAAATAAGAAAGATTATAATAATCATAGTAGAATTTACTTTATAGAGAATGTTTAAAGTACAAACTTTAAAATTATTATAGTTTTTCATTAAAGAAATTTACAATTATCATTCAATTTAATTATATTTGCATTTAAAAATGTTCTTTTTTTGGTTGTTATAAACCACTTGCGTTACATTTTCTTTAATAAGTCTATAAGCCATAGCAAAGGTAGTAAAAAATTAGCAATCAAAAATGAATAATGTATTAATACTTTACCAAGAATTTCTTAAATTATCTTCTTATATCCATGTTCGTTTAAAATAAATTTAAAAAGTTAATATATTGCCGGTAAATACTCTAAAATGGTTAAGCATAAATATTCTACAAACCTGCAACCTACATTGCGGATGAGCAATTTTCACTTTACGTATAAGTAACTTTTGTGCTAACTTTAAAATGGGATTATATTTTGTTGAACTTATTTGCAAATTCTTTTTATTGCACAAGTTGTAAGAATAAACGGAAAATCATTAAATTTACAGCATGTAAATTGTGTTTGGCTCAAAGCGCCCAATAAAAAAGGCTTTTGGGAAAACCTAAAGCTGTTATTTATAAAACTTAAAACATCGGTAAGTCGTTTTGTACATTTCAAGACCAAAATACCGTTGTTAAAATTTTAAAACCCCGCAGTTACTATAATTAGAAATACATTTTTAAAATAATTAAGTTTTAAATGATTAATTTAGGTAGGCTTAATCTTTTTAGCTGACTTTAAGCCACTGTGCGTTGGCTTGTAGGCCACATGAATCTTTTGCATAGCCTGAGGCCGCGGCGCACGATTCCCATTCAAATTCAAATCAAAAGCTAGTTTATTAGCATTGCATTGACCATTGGGGATTTCGAGCTGCTGTTGTTATTGGAAGTTGTGAATCCAAAACGGAATGGGAGTCGGAATCGGATTTGGGTTTGGAAGCGAAGTGGAAGTGGAGTTGAAATCGAAGGCGGACGCATCTTTTCGAGGGCGAATGACTTTCGAAGGCTGGATCTTCATGCAAAATAGACCATATAACAGATTTGACCTTAGCAGCGATTTTTTACCGGTTTTCCAGGGAGCGAGGACGGGGGGTTCAGGGGGATCGCTTTTCGTCACGCAACAAAATGAGTCAGTCGGTCGATGAAGTTGTTTTTGTTGCTTCCTTTTCCTTTGGCAAATCAATGGAGCATTCCCAAAAAACACAAAAAAAAAAAAACGAAATAACAACAACAAGCGGATAACATGTGCGTCGAAATGAGAACAAGAACAGAGCGAAAAAGAGAGAAGCGGGAGAGAGAAAACCACTTTCCATGGTGACACACTTTTATGCTACGTGCTGTTTTGCTACTTTTGCCGCTGCTACTGCTTGCTACAGCAGCAACAACAACGACCCGACTCCCATAATAGAAAGTGGAACAGGAATTTCCCCCCTCTATCATATCAATGCCAGAGAGTACGGCGATGATTTCATTTTGGCTGGCCTGCACTCATTGCGAAACACTTGCCACGGCCAACAAGCAACGGGCAGCAGCAGCAAAAACAACGTAAGAAAATCAAGAAACGGGCGAGAAAAAAGTGGGGAAAAAAATAGTTCAGTGGGAGCCGAAAAGCAGCTGAGCGAATGTTGCTGTTGGAGCTCTCTGTGTACAAGCGCTCTCTCTCACACTGGAAAAAAAAGTATACAAAAGGAAAACTTACATTGCGAATGAGTAATTTTTTACATTGCGTATGAGTAATTTTTTTAGGTTTAAATTTTGCTTACAATATTTTTACAGCTAAAATTTGATTAAAATCATCAGATTCATATTCAATATCATAACAATTTTTTCTTTCTGTATAGAAGCCGAAAAGCAGCTGAGAGAATGTTGCATCTCTCTGTGTACAACCACTCTCTCCCACGCTCTTTCTCCCACACTCTCAAACGTTCGGCAAGTGCAGCGCATGTCCCGTTTTTTGTTTATGCTTTTTCTCACACCCGCTCTCCCTGGGTGCTTTTGTTGTTGCAGGTGCATGCTTTTTGCTCTCACTGCAATTGCAATTTTGTAGCATTAGGCGCGTGAATTAATTTCTAATTGATGGGACCAACAAACATGCTTTGCCCCACTTCCGATTCCCAGAGAGAGTCTGCCGCTCTGCTCTCTTTGGTAAGTGGCTAGCGTATAATTTTTGTTGTGTTGACCTAATTATACGCTCATTTTGATTCACTTGATTTTCTCTGCACACAAACACACACACTGGCATACACGTTTCGTCACTGCGACAAGTGGAGCAGGCAGCTACGCTGGCAGCGACGTCGGCAGCATTTTGTGGCAGCGACCGTAATTTCTTGTGGTTACTGGGACGCAAAAACAAATACAAAATATAAATAAGGTGGGATACACCCCCAAAAACTCACACTATAATGCGTGTTTTTAGTAACTGCATCCGCTCTGATATTTGCCGAAAAATTCCGAAATTCCCAAATACCAAACCGAAATAGTAAAGCGAACTAAATCCAAACAGCAATAGTTGGTGGAAATGAATGTGGAAGTCCCACCAAATGCATCTGTATTCCGAACTTGTATCTGTATTCGTATCTGTATCTGTCTCCGTTTTGTTTGGGACGGAAATGCCAGGGCTGGCGGCCGAGAGGGGTTACCACTTCAGGTGAGTCAGAGTTCAAAGGGGTGGGCGATCCGATAGACATTAGCTACATTTATTTCTGCACTGAAGAAAAATATTATCCCATTATTTTTGTATTTTATAATTTGCACATACTTATATACAAAAAAAAGAAATATTTCAGTCAAACTTTCATAGCTACAACTTCCTTTTCCAAAAAAGGTCATTATCCAAATAAGAAGAATGCTAGATTAAGAACTAAGTTTATCTTTAAGATGTTTAAGTTTACCAATGTTTTATGATCCAATTTATTAAACCCATTATAATCAATACCAAATGTTTAATACTACCTTTTTTAAAATATTAAAGACAAAATAAAACTTAAATATTTGTAAGCAATAATATCATTTACAAAATTTATATCAAACTATAGGCCGGTTAATAGTAAAAAAAAGTTAAAATAATAAAAAAAACTTAAATTAAATATTTGCGAATGAGTTTCTGTGAACAACCTCTTACAAAATAGATCCAAACAATAATGCATGTGAAATCTTCTGGACTTATGAAAACATTCAAATATGAAGGTTCTCCTGTATTCTTAAACTGCAATGAAGCATGGGAAATTGTTAGTTTTTTATGGATATATTAATGTTTCTGACAATGCTTTCGACAGACTTATATGTGGGAGATACAAAATTCCACTACAAATTAGTTAAGCATATTAACACACAAATCTCTAGAAGTTGTAAGATCTTTGGGTTTGGTATTTTGGTATGTTGGTATAAACAAAAATTTCCAGTTCAAATTTTGAGTTGCTTATAGACCAGTCAACTAATGTTTTAAGATCTTCATTTGGGGGAATGCTTGAGTTTGAAGGCCTTTTTTTCTGTTGGGTTATTCTCCCATGAAGAGTGGATGTGGATGTAGATCCCCCTTGGCGCCAAACACCACTGGCGAAGATTTGCCAATCGTTTGGCTCTCCCGCACACCAATACTGAGATACCAAGAGAGCGGCCACTCACTCACACTCACACACAACCGATGGCACAGAGGCACAGATCAGCCGCAGCAGCAACAACAACAACAACAACAAGACGCAGCAGAATTTGAAATTAGGTCAACAGGTTTGGCTGCTTGTAGTGGTGTGGGCTGAGCCAGTTACTCGAGCGTATGCCGTCGTCTTTGCCTACGACCTCGGCTGTCATCATCAAGGGGGGGAGGGAATGGGGGTGGGGAAGCTATGGGGGAGCTGTGGAGGAGCAGAGGGAGCAGCAGCAGCACCAACAACATCCAAAGCTATCGCCGCCAACGCAATATGCGTTCCGTTCCGTTCGCCGTTCGTCGTTTATTGCACCACAGTTCGTGCAGTCTGCAGTTTGCAGTGCAGTTTTTCAGTTCGCATTTGTTGTGGGGGAGATGCACTCGCACACACACACACACACATACACCAGCACATCCGAATTGAGCACACTGCAGTGCGGCTGTGTGGGTGAGGGAGCGGATGGGTGGAAAGGGTGAAGGGGTGTAGATGGTGGTGGTGGTTGGAGGGTGGCGGGAAAGAGGGTTGCGTGTGCTGCTTTTGGGGAATGAGCCAGGGATGCAGAGCATCATTCTAGCATCCCAATGCAAGCGACAAATTGGGGATCGATAAAGGATGGAAGATAAGAAAGGGGACAAAAATCGAATTCAAGCCACCACAGTGCAGCCTCTCTATATTGCAATTATACCATTAAACATGTCAAATATAAATGGTAAATTTTCTTGGATTCTAACAAATTCCATGTTGTGGAGTTCTCCCAAAACTAGATTAAATTTAAACTAAATGTCAAGCGATTTGTCTTGGAAACAAATACATTATATTCCATCAAATATATATAACATTTTATTAATAACAGAATATATGCTATGTATATAAATTCGAATAACAAAAAAGAAAAGAATTCCAGGGTGTCAAGGGTTGATTTCCCCACACTTTGTAAGGCCTTCATTAAATAAGAAATGATACATACGGCTAGAACCCAAAATATTCTCATAACTATAGTTCAGTCGAATTCCTTTGTCTCGATAGAACGTGACTAAGAAAAAATGAGCCCAAATCTACAAAACAAAAATTAAGTGATACTTTCCTTATTAGGTTTTTAATGGTTGGGCAACATTTTTTCATTCGAAGTTTTGTATATTAAACCATTTTAAAATTTTTTTATAACGTTTTATGAATTAAAATCAGGATTGGTAGACCACTGATTTAAGAAAAATGTTGTTACAAGATTAAGCTGGCTTGATAACTTTTAAAAACTAAGCTTTAAACAAAATATATTTATGGGAAAAGCGCTGTTACATGGGCTCCGATTCCGATTTACTTGATCAGAATCGGATATAGGAACAGGTGTGACTGGCATTTCGAAATGCCTAAGCCCCTTCTTGAATGGGCAGGTAGCAATCTTCTGGTTGGAAACGGTTGCGAAAACGCGCATATGTTCTGAAATGGAAACTCAACGCGGAGCCGACTGGCGAGACCAACTCGAGTTTCTGATTTGATTTCGATGCAGCCAAGAGATTTCAACATACTTCTTAGTTGGTTTCTGTGTCACAATCGAGCACACAGACGACTGACTAGGTGGATGTGAATGTGGATGAGGACGGGGACGGGCCAAGTAATGAGCTCCCAGAGAGCTGCAGTCATCGGCATCGCCATCCACATCGCCACCTGCAGCTGCGACGGAGGCGTCGCAGCCACCGAAGCCGGAGCAGATAATCCCAGTAGAAATTGAAACTAGCTGCGGCAGGTTTAGAAACTGGTATAGAAAAACGCCAGCCACAGCCGCAAAGGCAGAAACAGCAACAGAAACTGAAACAGCAGCACACATAGGCAATCGACCTTGTAGGAGTGTATTTTGTCTTGGAGCAAGCCCGTAAACTGGGCCAACGCGATTGCACTGAAATCAGGTGGGCGTGACGTAGGTAAATACAGTGCAACTCCCTGAAGTTGAATTCGCTGTAACTCTATCTCTATTTGTGTCAATAAGGGCAATGAAATTGGAATATTCCTTGGTTGGTTTATTATTGGCTTGGAATTTTTAAGAGTGACTCTCGTCGAAAAAAGTAGTTTTGCGTCAAATAGGTGTTTAGAAGTATTAAGACCTGACCTATTCCAAGTTTTTTTTTAAATGTTAAAATTGACCATTAACCTTTTCCAACGTTAAATTAAAAGTTTTTAAATTGATGTTTTTAAAAAGGAATGACAAACTTGCATCTTTAAGAGTTTTTAAACTGTCAAGTAAAATATTTGACAAACACTTTTATTTATTAAGAAAAAAAAAACTATTGACTTCTTAAAATTTGTTAAAAACCTTCGATGGTATTACGACAATAAATTAAATTTGTGTCTGAAAATAAATACAAATCCTCAAAACTCCAGTAAGTCAAGTGACAGATGGTTGGCCACTTATGGACAGTTGACTGTAGGTTGGCCAATAAAAGCGTTTGTGTATACGTGTGTGTATGGGAAAGCTGGCTGTACCCTTGGCGCCCATTAATCCATGGCGGAAAATCCACGAAAATCTGTCGCAATCCGACAGATATCCGAAATAGCCAGGCGCTCGCAGGAGTTTCGTAATTACATACCCGCTAAAACGAAAGAGCGGCAGCCTTGGCTTCTGATTTTCAGTTTCTTTTTCTCGATTTTTTAGTTTTTCAGTTCTTTGGTTCTTCGGTTTTTTTTGTTCATTTTTTTCTTATATTTATTTTCGTTTTAACTTAGCATTAGCACAGCTGGAGTCTTTTGCAATGCTCTCGAAAAAAAGAAACGCGCTGGGTGTTTGGCAATTTTAGATTTCAAAATACCACAAGGTGCATTCTAACACACACACATACACACACACGGACACTAGGGGGGCGCTCTCTTTCGCTCTCTCAAACACACACACACACACACACTAGGGCATTATTGCAGTTCTTGGATCTATGTTTCTCAATGGATTTCATGGAGCGGTGGGGAGGGGGCATTACTTTTGCAATTTGCGATTTGCGTACACTGCGGAGTGGAGTCGAGTCGCGGATTATTCAACCAACTAACCTCCCACAAAACGGCAACTGGAACACAACAACAATCGCAGTGCTATGGATGTCGATGTCGATGTGGTTGTGGATGCACTCGAAAACAACGCGAACGCGAGATGCCGAATGGATATTATTCGAAACCAAAACCGAAATTACGCGCAGCTCAAAAGGGCAAGAGTTAGCTTTGGGCCCCAAATAATAATAATAATAATAACAACAATAATAATAATAAAACTGTCAGTGGACAACGCGCGCACGGAGGCCACATCCGAATGGGCCAAGAGACGAATCCACTCTGAGCGGAATCGGTATCTCTCGCTCCGCCAACGCTCTGCCTCTGCCCGGCCTCTGCCGGCGTCGCAGTCGTGGCGCTCGGCAAAACAAAAACAACTCAAGCGATTCCGATTCCTCAAGGCCTACTATTTAGGCCAAAAAATAATGTACCACAGCAACTACAGCAGCAGCAGCAGCAGCGGCACCAACTCGTTTCTTACAGAAATGTAAACGTTCTAATTGAGTTCTCATTTATGGCCCGCTACACCGACTGTGCAACTGAGTATTTGTTGTTGCAATGCCTAAAACCATCGGAAAATGTTTTTATCCGGCTGGCATAACCATTTTCAAATTGGAAACAAGTTTACTGAACCCTGCTAACTTGGCTTTTCAACCAAGACCAGCGATACTCGTCGTTTTCATTAAAAATCACTTGTCGTTCTGGGACTGGTGATCAAGTATCCATTAGCGAAATATGCGAAAATGGATCTTTAAAATCTTGCAATTCCTGAGGCTAGAAGATTTAAAAAAAAAACTTTGGCCAAACGTATAAAGGATGTACTGTCCAAAACTCAAAGAAACTTTTTGGGAAAGAATATCTTTATGCTTTTGCTCAAGATTATTTTCATTAAATTATTAAAAAAACCGTAAGCTTTATTAAAGTTTGACTTAGATTTCTTTCTTAACCACAAACAGTTTCTTAAGGTGAAAAACAAAAACTAACAATTTAAATATCATTTTCCTCAAGATAAATAAGAAAAAAGGGTAAAATTGGAACATTAAATAACCGTTAAAGAAGAGTTTCTTTTTAATATTGTAATATAGAGTCTTTGGTAATACTTAATTTTTTACAAGAGATCTTATTGGTATGCTAAGTTAAATATATATTTTCGAAATACAGATTATATATGTTTTAAAAAAATTTTGATTATATATTTTTAAGTTAAATAGCTTTCTTAAAGCTTTTTCACAGCTATAATTTGTTTTTTTATATTTACATTTATTGGGAATGTTTTATACAGAAATCTTTAAAACTGAGAAACTAATTTGACCAACAAATGGAAAACAAAAAAACAAATAAATAACTAACTATAATTCTAAAAGTCAGGCTGAGCCATATCGAGTGGTGAAATCATTGATCCATTTTTTTTAAGGGGATGTCGACCATAACGTTACGGTTTGAAAGGCTGGCGTTTTGAGGTGCTTTGTAAACCAAAAATAACCTAATTAAAGTGAAAAGAACAGAACTTGAAAAAAGAGCCAAAAACCAGTTTAGCTTTTTACTCCTTTCGTTGAGATAAGCATTGCAAATATATGAACTGTTTGCGCGCCTAATATAAAAAACTTTAAAGCTTTTACAAAAAGTATCAGTTATTTCCAGTCAGAGTTCGGCTGGCTTTCCTGAGTCCTTTTAATTTTTCTCCTTAAATCATGGTTTCTTTTGTGATAACGACGCTTTAACGTGTGAAAGGCAGTTCTGGTATCGGTGACATAATCCGTTTGGGTGTATGCATCTGTTTTTAGGATTCCTACAGATAGGGATTTAAGTTTAAATATAACTGAATTTCTTTTCCTCATATGTATGTATGTTAAGGGGTGCATTTCAACTATTCGTACAATATAAATTTATGATTTTTAAATCGTTTTTGAATTTAAATTTTTTTAACAAAAGGCTTATAAGGTTATTGGTACTGAAATACATAGTTGTATTAAATTTAACATAAAAGATAGTTGGTGTGGATTGCCTAGAAGTAATATAAACAAAAGGGAAGTTAACTTATGATTGCCGAAGCTATGCATATCAACAAATAGCAATTTTTTCCAAGGTTCATTTAAATTGACCAAATATCCTATGGCAGCTAGACAACTAAAAAATTACAATTTGTGTATGTATATAAGCAAGCCGAATATGTTCAACAACTAAGGTTTGGCGCATTATCTAATTAAATTACTTACCAAAAATGGTTTTATTATGTTTATTATGTTTTTGTACTGCTTAAAGGACTGTTTAGTGCTCACACCATCGTAGTTGTACGCCATGAGAACATCTTCAGAGGTTCTACTCGTCCTTCAGGTCTTTTCAGACCAATCTGAAAATGGTTAAAATTGCAATTACCCCATAAATCAACCTAGTCCGCAACTCACGTATTTATTGTTCGGTTTGGAAAGATTGGCATCCAGATTTGACAGTTCTTCAGGGTCAGTCACCGAAAAGAAGTCCTGATTGACTTTAAAGAGTTCAGTGGTCGGCCTGTTGTGAGCCACCTGACAAAGGCGGGCTAGGATTTCATTCTGATTGTCCAGGATTTTATCCAGATTATGTTGCAGCTCCGCAATTCCTACCTCAAGCAACTCATCTTTAGCCAACAGCGGTTCGTCATTTCGCGAAAACTCCGTATACATGTTCTTACTCATTGTTAACTAAGGGCAAACGATGAATATTATGATCGACCTTAAGTCAGCAAGAAGCTTAACTTGCCCGTTGTTTAAGGCAGCATAGTATTTAATTGTCTTCGAAAAAAAACAATGTTTTGTTGACGATAGGGATGGGCAAAGTGACAGACTGAATGGTCAATCGATATGTTATCGAACTTAGTCGCCGGTCAATTTTGATTAAAAGCTTTTTCACACGGCGGCGTTTACGCAACAGTAAGCAATTTACGCAGCAGAACCTTTTCTTTAAAATTAAATGAAATTTTAGACAAGTCAGCTGACAAGCCAAAGGCAATGGCAATAAACGTAAATAAATGAAAAATTAATTATGGATTGATCATGAATTTTTTATTAATTATCTCATAAATAAATAATATTTTGACTTTTATGGCTTCCTTTTAATATAACTTCATTTTTAGAATAAAAAAAACATTTTGGCTATTTAATTGCATATATTTGGTGATTACTTTCATTTTGGGACCAGTGTTGCCTTTTAGTAGGAAGGGGCGACTATTCTGGCTTTTTCAGCAATTCACCAACGTTTTCATCAGCTGTTGCTGAAATTCTAAAATTTGTATGGCACAGCTGACCGAATTTCAACTAAAAAATTAAGTGGTGTTTAATAATGAGTGCGTTTAGGAAGAAATTAAGAATTTTGAAAGAGTGTTTGCAAGAAATGGAGTGGAACCGGGCTAAGTGTGCAAGAACTGGAGTAGAATATCGATAGAGATGGACAAACATCGATTATCCTCGCCAAACATCGAGAGTCCCGATATTTTGAAAACATCGACTACGCCGATATCAGTGTCGATTAAAAGTGCGTTTCTCGGCGCATTTGCAGGTATTGTGTGAGGCTCCGTTTTGAAAATTTGTTTACCCGAGTTTAAGCCGTGACCGAAAGCCTGCCGAGGTGTTAAAGTGTAGTTTAAGTGACCCACCACCTGTGTGCCGTGTTTTTGTCTTGTTTTCCGGCGCCCCGACAGCGCAATAGTTGATTGAAAATTCAATAGTGTCCGCTGTCTGGAGCGGCTGTATCGGTTTAGCCGTCAATTACTGGGTCCCTTGGTTTACATAAGAGCGAAAGAGTCAGCTAGTGTGACATTGCAGAAATGGCGTCGAAGTATGTGCACATGGCTGGGGCTGACTTGGTAATATTTAAACGATATTCCCAGTTGGCCCGATTAAAGTCTTTGGAAATGCATTTACTGTCGGGAAATGGTTGAAATTGGATAATATTTACTTCCGGCGAGGCGTACATTTCGTTTTCGGCGCAGTGTACGCCACTTTGTCCGGTTTTGCATTCCTCTTTGTGCGCTTCATTCGGTTTCAATGCCCTCGCATTCAGTGTTGCCAAGTGTCGGGTGTGTGCCTAGTGATGTGTGTGCCTGTCGAATTTTGACTGAAATCGGTCATTTTGTGCAGATTTCCCAATTTATATTGATTGTCCTTTGTAGTCTATCTGAGCAGGAATATTTAGCCTGCTGCGTGCTCCAATTAATGGTTAATTTACCAGCCTTGCCAACAGCTGCAATCGCACCTGGCAACACTGGTGGGCCCGCGCTGGTGCGGGTGGAAGGGAGATGGCGATAGGGGCAGATGCAGAAAAGCAAGCACAAAAGCGAAAGCGGAAAAACCGAAGCAAGGAGGCCAAGGAGTTTATAAATCAATTTTTGTGTATGTCAGTCCCGCGATTCCCGTTTCAAATTATATTGAGCTGTTTCCGGGTCGCGGGAAACTAGTATTACCATCAGCAGAAATCTTCATATCTTGGCGGACGTGCGAAATGCGAAACTTAATAGAATAGTGAAGGCGGCAGCGGTCTTTTGATTGTGTGCGCTAATTCTCGCGTGTGTGTGTGTATGAATAATGCATGGAAAGGCGTTATTCACGGCTAACGTTGATAAAACTGTTTTGACAACAAAAATTGAGTGATTCAGATATGCACTTAGTATCGGGGTCGCCTCCGCAGCTCCCGCTCTCTCTTTCCCATGAACCACCCTCCTTGGAAAAGCGGCTGACGTTTCGGCTTGGATGCGTCGCGGTCACTTACCCCGCAACCCCCTCTCGTCCACCCCTGTTACCTGTTTTGCCAATACATTTTCCCCTTGACACCCCCTTTTCATTAATTTTTGTTATTTCTGAATGCTCGCTTTGTTTGTGCGTACGCTCTTCCCTCCCTCTCTCTAACTTCCATCAGTGTATATGTGTGTGTGTGTTTGTTCACGTTCTTTCATTCTCTTTTATTAAATGTACATTGAACTCTCATCTTGCCAGCTTTTCTTTTGCGGCTATCTTTCGGCCACTTGTTTTGCAATTTCGCACATCCGTAGATAATATCTGTCTGGATTGTGATATTCTCTCATTCATTTTTTTCCCAAACCCAACTTATTGCTGAAAAATATACAAGTCCTGACGGTTTGTTTGGCTTTTGGATAGTTTGTATAGGGTAAAATGGGTATCAAGGTTTTTGAAGAATTCAAGACAATGACCTGTTTTTATATTATTTTTGGTATGATTATCCTATCAGTATAGAAACCATAGCCAGAATTGCAGAATAAAAACGAAATTTCTGCATGTTATTTTCGGAAAATGTAATTCAGGCCATACAATTTAGGAGAATTTTTGATTTTTGTAAAGAATTACCACTTAAAATAGGATTATATTCAGGACTCGTATATTACATGTACCCCTTTTAAATTTATTTGCTCTAGTACTTAAACATATTCTAATGTTTTGAGTCAGCAATGATCTTATTGTTCATTGTAAGTTATATCCCAGATTTTCCTATGTCCAAATCCAGTCGTCAAAGATTTTAAATTATATCAGTCAGAAGTTTGATCCCCTGGTGTTAATATCGTATCTTTTATCTTTTGATCATCGCAGCTAATTTGTATATACAGTGTACATAGAGATGAGCACACAAACTCGTTCAGGCGGCGGCGGAGGAGGCGGCGGCCACACCCGCAACCAGAAAAAGTCAAATGCCAGCAACTCCGGCGGCGGAGGATCCGGAGCCGGCCACCACGATGGAGGAGTCTCACACGCTGCGGCCGCCGGCAAGAAGGGCGGCCAGGATGCCAGCAAGACAGACAAGCCAGAGAAAGCCCAGCCCAAGGCCACTACCGAACAGTTGCGCATTGCCCAGATCACCAATAGCACCACAGAGGACCCGCAGATCAACGAGAAGGTCACCCTCCTGTTGACCATGACCCAACGTTCCGAGGAGGAGGTCTGCTGTGCCCTCAACGAGTGCGATTACGACCTGGAGGCAGCGGCCAACTTTTTGATCGAAGAGCTACCGCAGGTTAGTTTTTATATTTTGATTTACACTGTCCTCCAGTCATTCAATTGGATTCCATTGCAGGGCGCCTTTGCCAAGTACGAGAAGAAGCGCAAGAACAAGGCTGCAAGTACCGCGGCCGATGGCGCAGCCGGCGACGGCGATTGGGCCGATGGCAATGCGAATGCGGACAGGCGGGAAAAGTCGCGGAACCGCAGCTCAAATCGCGGTGGCACCCGCGGCTCCACCGACAGTCGTGGATGTAAGCCCAAAACGCCAAATAACGCTCATTTACTAAAAGACTGCCTTTGGTTTTTAAGTGATCCCCATAAAAGTTTAGCTGAAAATTTTCCCTTTTCGTATTTAATGACTGCAAATTATAATTTATGATTCAGAACATTTTTGAAGTGCAAGTCATTTTAGTAAATGAGCTTTTGTATTACTTTCGCTGTACTCAAACTAAGACTTCTATTTTCCCAACTTAAAGGGCGCGGAAGAGAGACACGTGAGAACGAGCGCAACCAGCGCGAATCTCGTGAACCTCGTTCTGGCGGCGACCGCGGTGAGGAGCGGGCCAACGACAACTATCGCGGGCAGCGCAACGGAGGCGTACGCAGTGGACCCGGTGGCGGTGGACGAGGCGGTGGCTTCGTCTCACGCTCGGGCCGTGGTGGCGGTCGCATGGGCGGACGCACCGGAGGACCACGTGGCGATCGCGGCAGCGGAGGCACTGGCGGTGGCTATGGACCTGGTCGCAGTGGCAACGCTGAGGATCACCACGAGGTGGAGCTGTGGGACAACACCATTGCCCAAAACGCCGAGAAACAGCAGCAGGCTCACGACGATGCATGGGGCGATTGGAACAACGAGGAGTACGAAGGTTCGCTCAAGGACAGCAAGGTATTCACGACCAGCAACCTGGCAACGCAAACCGCGGCCAGCGTGGTGAGTGGAACGGGAGCGAGTGTTGCAGGTGCCTCTACGGCGACCGGAAGCGAGTTGTCAGCGCCACCGGGTCTCGAACACCATGTCGTGCAGCAGGGATCTCATCATGTGGAGGAGAACTCCAGCAGCGGACCAGCGGCAGTGACACCGCCAGCAACGCTGACGGGCTCGGCGACCACGCCGCTGCTGCAGTACAGCGCAGCAGTCAGCAATCCACCGCCCCAGTTGCAGTCACAGGGCACGCAGTCGGGAGCGGGTGCGGGAACGGGAGCGAACGCAGCGGCCGGCGGAGGAGCGGGCAGCACACCGTCCTCCTTTGTCTCCGCCTCACCAGACACATTCTCAAGCGCCGCCTCGGCTGCAGCCACGCTGGTGCAC